AGGGAAAGAAAGCTAAGAGATTTTCCTGAAGGAAGGTTAGCGATTATCCTGAAATTGTTTTCTGAAGTTCCTGTGGGCTACAAAGTTGAAAGATTGGTTGGTTGTCTTTACATGTACCTTTTCTAATTATGCATTTGCATTTATACCTTTGCTTTGTAACTACAAAGCAGCAGCAGCATAGGCTAGAGTTTTATCGAACGCGCCTTGATACTAGTACTTCGTATCTCGTATCGACTGCTAATTTAATGCTTAGCTTCCTATAGATTTAATAAACGATGCCAGGGTATGAAGCAAATTCCTATATACCTTCGGGGAAAATCATGGCCGGAATGATCTCACAAGTCATATAGCAACTACAATTCCAAAGGCTCCCATGAAAAGTAGCAGCCTACAGGATATCGTGCTTAGCTGATTTTGCTAGAATGAGTTTTCACCAAATGCGTGCCTTGTTATTCTTCGACTTCATTTATTTTTTATTTTATAATAAATCATGCTTCTGCTTGGATCAACTGTAGCTTATCAAAATGTTTTGTCTCCGACGTTGTGCTTCTTACAAGTGTGAAGACAAGCATCAATCAAGAAATGGTAAAAAAGAAGAAGTGGCAGAGACAATAGGGGGGGGGAGAGAGAGAGAAAAGTCCACCTTTGTAGGAGGTTTACAGGTATCTACCATGCAACCCCTTTTCCTTCTCTTTTCTTTGAGATCCTACCCATCTTCTTCATTCAGGTAATTTTTTTTCCAGTTTGTAATATCATTCTCCATTCACTGGAATTGCAAGTTTGCAAAAAAAAACACATCATGAAATTACAGGGGGGTCAATAGAAGGAAATGTTAGAAATTAAATGCCATAATTCCAAAAGATCTGATCATAGGAAATGAGAAATAGTGAGGCCTCTAAATTGGAGTCGTTTTGAAGACATGAAGGTGCATGCTTGAAGGAGAATATTTATGATCATGCTTTGTAGGAGCAGCCTCATAATACTATACTACAAAAAATAAACATCCTTGTTCTGTTTTGTTATAGTTCTTGTGTTAGAATATATGTTGCGGTTCATCTCTTGATTGCTTCTGATCCTGTCATTAATATTTTCAGGTATCCTAAAATCTTGAGACGAGCAGTCTGGGGGATTCGTGGAGTTTCCGGCGTGTAACGCTAAATAACCTTTTGGCCGGAAGTTCTTCACGAGATAAAGAAAAAAAGAAGAATGTCTTCAACACCTGATGCTCCCTCACCAGATTCTGGCTCCCCCCCTCCTCCACCAGCGTCACCACCACCACCTGAGAATTCAACATCTGCACCCCCACCTCAATCGGATACCCCACCACCAGATACATCATCTCCTCCTCCACCATCTCCACCACCTCCACCAGCGTCACCACCACCTAAGAATTCAACATCTGCACCCCCACCTCAATCGGATACTCCACCACCAGATGCATCATCTCCTCCTCCACCATCTCCACCACCTCCACCGCCAACTAGTGATTCTCGTTCTCCTCCACTGCCAACTAGTGATTCTCGTTCCCCACCATCTCCACCCCCTCCTAAACACAGAGAAGATGCTGCGCCACCTCCTCCACCCCCTCCTAAACACAGAGAAGATGCTTCGCCACCTCCTCCACCAAGTTCAGAAAACTCACAACCAGCACCTCCAGATTCATCAGATAATGGTGGAGGACTTACTTCAGATCAGATTAAAATTGTAGTTGGGGTGGCAGTTGGTTTCGGTATATTCCTTATTGCCTTGATTTTCATCTGTGCATACTGTTCGCGCAAGAAGAAAAGAAAAAATAGGCATTATTATGGAGAAAATCCTCAAGGAGGTACAGATGTTGTTTCACCAAACCTTGTGTTTTTGTTAATCATTTCTATCACAATTAATTACTGTTAGGGAGTTGTATGTGTTTGAGGAGATGTGTGGGCTCTCGGTTCTGTGTTGGGTTTGTGTCTGCACTATGAGAGCTTAATTGCACATAAAACAAGACTCATGTCCAGTCCAAAAACCTAGACTATTGGATCATGAATCCATCTTATATAAGATATGCATCTCTTTTTTCCCATTCCTTTGTAGAAGTATTTACCACAACTCCCTCTCCTGTGGAGGTATCTAAACCTTCACATGCAAGCCAGACCCATTCGAACACAACTACTCCTCTTGTGGAAGTATTTAACATTCCTAATATGATATGCTTGGAGCTTAGCTCGTTTGCTCAATCATGGCGAAGTAAACAAAGCTACGAGAGTCTACCCACAATCGCCACTCAACCCAAGCCGAACCATCATCTTTGATACCAATTTGTCAAGGAGCTTATTCTCAAAGATGTTGAGTCATGAGCCAATCTTATATATAGAAGCACCTCTTTTTTCCGTTCATCTTTGAAGTATGAGATAATTACTTCTAATATGTGCACCCAACAATTACATTATAACACTCTACCGATCATCATGGTTGGATTGCATTATCTCAACTAATGTACAACTATCATGTTTTGTGATAGTATACCTTCTTTTCAAATACAAAATGTATAAGCCCTCCTTTTTATATAACTTAGATTTCAAATGGTTCATCCGATTTCAGAATGGTTCAAGCTATTTCTTTCCTTCAATCACTGTTTTGAGAGAAGGGAGTTGTATTGTAACTTCTTTAGTCTGATTTTATGTTCAGAAACTGGTTGTGCTAGAAAAGCTTCTTCTGTTGCTTCAATTCATTTTGAACATGTTATAGATCACGTATAGCCCCTCCAATCTACTCATAAAAATGACGGAAAAGATGTCTTGATATCTCTGCTAAATATTTTTGAAGAGCATTCAAGTAAATATCAGGTTGAATACTTATGAGATTATTGCTGAATCTTGTTTCTGTATCTGGCATCCCAGGTGATTCATTTTTTTTACAATTCCAAATCAATTAGATCCTTCATTGATAATGTTCTATTTTTACGCCCAGGGAGTGGAAAATTTTCTTATAACTACAGCGCGCAGCAATCGAACTGGCAAAATGGTCCCCCAAAAGAACATGTTGTGAAGCTATCCCAATCACCAGGTGCAATGGGGTCTCCCTGGCTTGCACAACCTCCACCTCCACCGATGGGGAACAGTGATGATATGAGCTCCATTAACTCTGGCCCATACCGCCCCCCCTTGCCCCCTCCGTCACCAAATATTGCTCTTGGTTTCAACAAAAGTACCTTCACATATGATGAACTAGCAGCAGCTACAGGTGGATTTGATCAAGCCAATTTATTAGGTCAAGGTGGGTTCGGTTATGTGCACAAAGGTGTGTTGCCTAATGGGAAGGAGATTGCAGTTAAGAGCTTAAAGCACTACAAAAAACAGGGGCTATTAGCATCTGAATTTAGCAACGGATAATTCCGTTGCTAAATTCAGTAACAGATTTGCAACGGATTATATATATATTATTTTTTAAATATTAGCAATGGATTTTAGTAACGGACAATCCGTTGCAAAATTTACATTGAATTTAGCAACGGATTTTCCGTTGCTAATTGAAAAAATAAAATTTAAATATTAATATAAAGCTGAAATTATGTTGACCGTTGATTGCATAAAATCTAAACCGTTTATTTTCGCTCTTTCCCCCCACACCGAAATACAGACACCAACAAAATCATTTACAGCTGAAAATTACATCACTTTCACTCTTCCAGTGCATCCGTCATCCCTAATAACAATATCAATCCCTAACTGTTGAAAAATCACCCTCTCTTCATCGATTTCATATTCCTTTATCCGAAACTGTTTATCATTTTCTCATTCATCTTCAGCATCCGTAATTTCTTTTCTTCATCTTCTTCTCCTTCATCGATCTTACCAGTTTCAATATTTCTATATAAAGCAAGAAAAACAGAGACCCATGGTAACATCACACCAGACCCATCATCATCAGTATCGAACATCCTGATTTACCCTTTCTCTGTAAACGGGTTAGGTTTTGCACTTTTTTCTTCAATAGCTCAGGTAACTAATTTAGGGTTTTTATTTTTTTTGTTGCAATTGAAGTTACACTAAACAGTTCTAACCTAAATTTTCTAATCTCAGGTGTTATTTTTTCGTGTTGATCCATCTCTCTCATCTGTAACTGAAGAACGTACAGGTAACAATTGTTTTTCCTGATACTTTGAATAATAGTTTTAGGCTATTAATTCAATAATATAAGGTTTATAAAATGTTTTTACCATGATTTATAATCTAATTATGCATGTTTAATTGAAAATTTATGAAAACCCCCAAATTAATTTTTAGGGTTACGGTTCATAAATTGAATGATTTTATGCAAATTGACCAATGCTGGCAATTCTTGTGTCTGGAAGAGAGTGATTTATGGAAATTATGCCTGTTTAATTGAAAATTTAGCAAAACCCCCAATTTAATTTTTAACAATTAGTTTTTTGATGCTGGGTGTTCTTTGATGGGTGTTCTTTGATGTCTGCAAGTCTTTTTGTCCTCCTGTGCGCCAACACCTAGGTGATTTGAATGTATTCATATACTTATATATATAAAAAGAAACTTGGTTGTTGATGTTGTGTTTTGTTAATAAGATTGTTGTTTTATTTTTGTATCTTCATTCATTATTTTTAAGCAAGCTAAACATGCTCTCTTTATTTGTGGGGTAATCGTGTGGATGGCTTGTCCTGGATAATGACAGTGGAATGTCAGCACCACATACTAGTTGAACATGCCATAACAGTAGCAATTGCTTGGAGATATTTCAGTTGGAACTCTCTCTATTCTCTGTATACATTGTCTCGGGTTTCCAAGTTCTTAGTAGTTGGGCGGCTTAATGTTTATGGTGGTTATGCTTGGAATAGAAGAAAAAAATTGCTCTCAACAAAGTATATTCTAAAAGACTATCTTAAAAGATAATTGTATATGATAACATAGATATATTCCACTTTTCATAACTGAAAGATAGCAAAAAAAAACCTTGTAATATCAAATATGTATGTCAATTCTTGGATTTCATTGATGTCAGATATTTATGAAATTAATACTTGCTTTAGGAACTTGATTCTAGTTCCATTGCTTTATTTATCAAAGCCCTTTTCCTTTTCCTGAATAATAAAGTTCTCAAGTGATTTATTTTGACTGCTAGTAGACATAAATGTATGTATATGTGTGTGTGGAGAGCATGAAACATGCTTAATCATTTCAATCAACTAAAGGTTAGTTGAAACTGAAAATCAACTAAAGCTAATTTGATCCCTGTAGTACCATAAAGCAGTATGCTTTCAATGTTTAATTATCCATAAAGACATAGTTTATAAAGGACAAATCCAAATCAGTATAACCTTGTGTTTATTCTTGAGTATGCTTAATAAGGTTAATCTTAAAAGAGAAGTATTCTCAATAAGGTACATGAATTATTTCGGGAACATTTTAGCAACACATCATCTCTTCCTTTGTTGAGATGACTAAAGCTCACAACTGTTATAGTACCTAATGTTTGCTTTGTTATTTGGCTTTTTTTTTAATTTCTGGGTCCTGACATGACTTTGTTCAATATGATGAATTAGGTTTTTAAGCGTGGCAGCAAGTTATCTTCCTCAATAATTAATCATCCTTTGGGTTCTTCTTTGCGCGAAAACGGTGTGTTGCGTTCTTATTACTATTTACTATGGTCTCCTTAATGCTTTGTTCTTTTGAGGTCTTGTGCTGTTATACTACATGTCATTTACATGGAATATCATTTAATGCATCCAGCTTTCGTTGTGCTATGCTTTTTGTACCTTGTTGTTTTGCTCTTTGAACTAAAAGCATGTCATTAGAATTTCCTTTTATGCAAAGGCTTGGTTTTGTAGAAAAATTATGTCCTGCCCATAAAAATTCTTATTAAGTTATAGGTTTTAAGAGATAATAATTACAGTAAATTATAATTAATTTTTTTGAAAACTATAAGTTAGTTCCTTGTTATTAAATTAAATGAAATTTATCAGGTTGGATCTTAAATGAAAAAAAATATTTGTTATGAGAAGACAAGTATCAAAAAAATAATTGATATTTAATTGTTATTTCACTATGATATAAAACATAGATACATTGTATATAATTAAAGAGACAAAGATACAAATGTTGGAATAAAAATAAAAAGATCTGAATATATGATTATGATTTCATTTACCATTTCTTAGTTTACCAAAAAAAGATTTGAATAAAAATAAAAAAGTTTGATGGATCTAATAAAAATAAAAGGCTAAAAAAAAATAAAAAACTCATTTGAGGTTGTAACAAAAGTTAGAAGGATCAATAAAAAAAAATTAAATCCAAAACTACTATAAAGATAAATTTATTTAATATTTGTTCAACTAAATATTTTTTTTCTTTATCTATTTATTCTGTATAGAATACTAATCAAACATAATCTAAAAGTGTACTTTTGTCAATAATTGGCTTATATAAATATAAATGAAAATTATTAAGATTTATTTAAAGCATTTAACAAAAACTCAATAACAAAGACTAGAAGGAAAATAATTATCCAGGTTTTAACAAACACATGTGCATATATCCCATCATTAACATTTTTTGGCTTGATATATGTTTGAACTGGACAAATAATTATAGTTTATTCATGTTGTACATATTTTATTTTAAAGGATTGTTTAAATAGTAGTAGTTAAAGAAGTATGCTTATTTCTAAAAATACTTATTGGTGTTGTCCTGTTAATTAGATTAACATGGATGATCGATCATGGATGTATCGTCGTCTTATGGATGGTCGCCTTCGTCCTGAATACATTACCGGTGTTAGAAGATTTATCAATTTTGCATTTTCAATTGATAAAAATATATCTGGGGGAAAAATTAGATGTCCTTGTGTGAGGTGCAAAAATCAAAAGTTTTTAAAGGAAGATGATGTTTGTAAACATCTATTGACAAAAGGTTTTATACCTTGTTATGAAAATTGGACAGTACATGGGGAGCCTTATGTTACGGAACCAATATTGGCTGGACCTTCATCAATTGGAATGAGTCATGTTATGAATGATGTTTGTCTAGAGAATCCATATAGAAATCTAGTTATAGATGCAATGGGGGTTGGTGATGCATTCTATAATGATAACATGTCTAGTCCTATGGTAGCAGGGGAAATTCCAAATCCGGAGGCAACTAAATTTTTTAATCTTTTGAAAGCTGCGGAGGAGCCGTTGTGGGATGGGTGTACCAAGCAATCCAAATTATCTGCTTGTGTACAATTGCTTAATATGAAGTCAACATTTAATTTGACTCAGAATGCCTTCAACAATTTTATTGATTTTACAAAAAGTTGCATGCCTAATGATGAAAATTTGGTATCAAATTTTTATGATGCCAAGAAATTTATGCGACCACTTGGACTTGGGTATGAGAAATTTGATGTGTGTCCTAATTATTGTATGTTGTACTATGGGGCTGATGCAATGAAAACAAATTGTGATTTTTGTGGAAGTTCACGATACAAACCTAGAAATCCAACCAGTAAAGGTTCCAATAAGGCAGAGAAGCAACTTCGATACTTTCCCTTAACACCAAGGCTTCAAAGACTGTTCATGTCTCCATATCACGCCAAAGATATGACATGGCATCATTATCACAAGTCAGATAATGGGGTTATGGTGCACCCATCTGATGGGGAGGCATGGAAGGAGTTTAATCGTGTTCACTTCAGCTTTGCATCAGATCCGAGAAATATTCGATTAGGGTTGTGCACTGATGGGTTTTGTCCATTTGACATGTCTTCAAATACATACTCTTGTTGGCCAGTAATTGTGACTGTTTATAATTTGCCTCCGTGGAAGTGCATGACTAGACCATTCATGTTTTTGACAATGCTGATTCCTGGGCCAAAGAATCCGGGTAAAAAGCTTGATGTTTTTCTAAGACCTTTGATTGATGAGTTAAAGAATTTATGGTCTGATGGTGTTGAAACATATGATGTCTACAGAAAAGAAAATTTTCAATTAAGGGCAGCTTTGATGTGGACCATTAGTGACTTTCCAGCATATGGCATGTTATCGGGGTGGAGTACTCATAGAAATCTGTCTTGTCCTTATTGTATGGAGCATAGCAAGGCTTTTAGATTAAAAAATGGACGGAAAACTACATTTTTTGATTGTCATCGACGATTCCTACCCATGAACCACCCATATAGACATCAATCAGATAAGTTTTTGAAAGGAGTAATTGAAAGGCTCCCTCCTATACCTCGTCCATCTGGTTTGGAAATGTTAAATGAAGTGTCCAAGTATACTGAGGGATATATTGGAGGTTCATCATATAATGTTAAAATTCCAGGATTTGGTGTTAAACACAATTGGGTGAAGAAGAGTATTTTCTGGGAGCTTCCATATTGGCATATAAATTTGATTCGTCATAATCTTGATGTCATGCATATTGAGAAAAATGTCTTTGACAATATTTTTTATACAGTAATGGATTGTCCTTATAGAAGCAAGGACAATTTAAAGGCTAGGTTGGATATTCAATTGTATTGTCATAAGCCAAATTTACATTTGCAACAAGATATGAGTGGTCGGGTTTACAAACCTAAAAGCACTTATTGTCTACACAAGAAACAACAACAAGAAGTGTTGTCATGGATGAAGGAGTTATCATTTCCTGATGGTTATGCTTCAAGCATTTCACGATGTGTGAAAGAGGCACAATGTAAGGTTTCGGGGATGAAGAGCCATGATTGTCATGTCTTCATTCAAAGACTTCTTCCAACTGCTTTCCGACCTTACTTACCTAGACCATTGTGGGAGGCATTAACTGAACTATCCGTATTTTTTCGAGATATTTGTTCAACAAATTTAAATGCCCAGCACATGGAGTTAATGCAGATGAATATAATTGAAATAATTTGCAAACTTGAAAGGATTTTTCCTCCATCCTTCTTTGACTCCATGGAACACTTGATGATACATCTACCTTACGAGGCAAAAGTTGGTGGACCAGTTCAATATCGATGGATGTATCCATTTGAACGGTATGTTTCATACTATGTTCATTTTATTCATTTTTTTTTTAATAAACTAATTGAAAAAAATGATATAGGTATATGTTTTATTTGAAGAAGAAAGTTACCAATAAAGCTAAAGTTGAGGGTTCCATATGTGAGGCGTACTTGATTGATGAAATTACCAATTTTGCATCTCATTATTTTGGTGATGACGTGCAAACAATTTGGAATCGAGTTCCACGGAATGATGATGGTGGCCTTACAAGTGTAGATGGATGTCTCTCTATTTTTTCCTATCCAGGAAAAAAATTATCCAAAAGATTTTATAGAAGGCAGTTGTCACATGCTGAAATGCAAATTGCGCACAACTATGTGATATTCAATTGTCAAGAACTGAAGCCTTATTTAGAGTAAGTATGAAATATTATTTTTTACTAAATTTATAATAATTTATTATTAACTTTAACATTTTTTAAATTTTAGGCAATGCCGTCAAGAGCTAAAGTCACAACAACCATATGCGAGTGATGGTGAAATTGAAAAATTATGCGAAGTGATCTTTCCAAATTGGTTAAAAAATAATGTAAGTATTTTAATAAAATTAATTTATATTTTATGTCAATTAGTTACTTTAAAAATATTATTAATCTCTTTTAAATTATTATTTCTTATGGAGTTAACTATTATGCTAGGTGGAATACCAATCTAATGGAATTCAAAATCAGCTTTTTGGACTTGCTATGGGCCCTTCAACTTCAGTGAAATGCTATAATGGGTATTATGTGAATGGTTTTAAATTTCATACTCAACGTTATGGTCGTTTTAAAAAGACAATGAATAGTGGAGTTTGTGTGAAAGGAAGTTGCTATGATGATAATGAACGTGATTATTATGGAATGCTTAAAGAAGTTGTTCGGCTAAAATACTTAGGGAGTAAGTGCAAGTTATTCATGTTTAAGTGTAATTGGTATGATACAAGACGAGGAATTAGAGTGCATCCTTCGAATGGTTTGGTTGAAATCAAGCATACATCTCGACTACAAGGAAATGAAGATTTTGTGCTAGCACAACAATGTCAACAAGTCTACTATACATATCCACCTGGTAATAAATCATCTGAATGGTGGACGGTTATTAAGACAATTGCTAGAAGTCGTTATAATGTTGACATGGGTGAATTTATTAAAGATGCCAACAATGTAACATCATTTGATGTTGATCAATCAGATGAGATTTCTCAACCATGTTATGTCCTTCCTACTCAAACACTTGATGATCCAAATATACTTGTTGAATCATCTTATTATGAAGAAATCGGGCAACATGAATTGCTTCAACTTGACATAAATTGGGGAAACAAAGATGATGAAGAAGAAGATGATGATGGTGACGGTGATGGTGACGATGATGGTGATGGTGATGATGATGGTGATGGTGATGGTGACGGTGACGATGACGGTGAAGAAGAAGATGATGATGATGAGGATGAGGATGATTGTTATGGTGGTGATGGCTAGGAGTGATGATAATAATGAGTAGCGCAATTTAATTATATTTTGTAGTACATGTAATGAATTATCTTTAATATATGTATGGATAATTTCATATTATTTGACAATATTTACTTTTTCAATGTTTTTTATTTATTATTTTATCATAGTGTGTTATGTATCACATTGCATATATCATTTTCATTGACCTTTGAAAAAATTTCTAACCTTTCAAGTATCAATATTTAAATTGTGATTCTGATGATATATTTTATTTTGTGATTTGTTTTCTTGCTTATAGATGTTGAAGAATGAATGAAAAGGTTTTTCCTACTCAGTGTTTGATTTATAAGAACAAACATTAAGGTAAGTATACTCATAAATTTTGATTTCTGCTTAATTAATTATTTAGATTTTTATTTTTATTATTGTTTGTGTTAATTGGCTTTTGATAATTTAAACTTCATGGCTGATTTTTATCATTGCAAGGAATGCTTAATGAAAATATTGTGAATCTTTTGTTCCTCGTAGTTTAATTATAAGCTAATTTATTGTTATGTGTATATATTCATATCATAATGTATATATTTTTTCTGGTTTTTAGCATGCCTCGACGAGGATCTATATTAGATTCTAGGAGTGACAGGTCCACATCAAGGAGTGACAGGTCCACTTCATCCAAATCATTTCAAACTACATCAAGGCATAATAACAAAGGATCCACATTTCATCAACCTGTGTATCAGAATGCAAATGAGTATTATATACCTACTTTGGGGAGTACACATCCTCCTCAACGTGATTATGGGAGGGTTGATGCATATCAATATTGTGAGGGCTTTCGTTTCCAAGATTTGCTTCAAACTCAAGGAGGTTTCCCTCGAGATAACCAATTTGTTTATGGAGGACATAATTTGTATAGGAGTTATGAGAGAGTTAATGGTGATGATGATGATGTGAACGTTAGAGATGAAGACGAGGGAGACGATAGTAATGAGAGAGGTGTATGTGATGAGGATCAAGATGGTGTTCCATCATATCATGGTTCAACATGTTCTCCACACAATTATGATCAAAGTGTTAAAAGGAAGGGTTTTGACACGCCAATAGATCCAATAACAAGAAAAAAAGAGCTTTGTTTGTATGGAACAACAGAGTAAGTTCAAACTTTTGAAAACAAACTTATTAAAGTTATATTTTCAGGTATGAAAAAAATTACTTTTTATTGTGTAATTATTTGTTTAATATAAGTTTGTTATTATATATTTTCAGGTTCAATAACGCATCGTGTGGGCGTGCAATCGGAGATATTTTGAGGTCCAATTTTAAGGGAGCATGGCACTCTTGGGAAAAAGTAGATTCAATGTGCAGGGATGAACTGTTTAAAGAGTTTAAGGTAAGAACCAACACTAATTGCCATAATATTCTTTTTAATTTTGATAACTTTAATGTAGGATTATGAAAATTATCAATTAGCTATGATTGATTTGTGTTATAATTTGTACTTATTTCATGTTTACTTTTTAATATCATTTAATTTCTATAGTTATTACATCATCTTGCAAATTTTGAACAAGATAACACAATATGTTAATTATTTATATAATTTGAAATTTTGTGCACTTTTTTTACTTCGTATATATATTATTTGGTAGAAAAAATATTCTTTTCCTGAGGAAGATGAGTCGATTGTTCGTAATATTTGGGAAGATAAGGCAAGGATAGCTTTGAATCAACAATTAACACGAGCTCGCAAGAAAGCCATGTCAAAAGAAAACACTACAAATATTGTAGATTGCCTTGATAAAGGTCCTGCCTGGATAAATAATGATGACTGGAATCAAATGATCAAAGATGTTTGGTCCACCCCTGAATTTCAAAGGAGGTCTGAATCTGCTAGGAGGAATCGATTAACCAAAACAGATGGCAAAATAAGCACTCATTCTGGAGGAACAGTGTCATTTGCATCATATCGAGCTAACATGGTAAGAATTTTTTTTTTAATGCTTAAGATAAGAAATTATAATTTGTATTTTTATCTTTTATAATATTTATTAATCTTGAAAGCAAGAGGAAGCTGGTGGAAAAGAACCTCCATGGGATGATGTCTTTTCAGCTTTGCATCAAAGTACTAAGCAGTCTGGTGGCTTCGTCGACAACAAGTCGAAAAAAGTGGTTGTATGTATTTTTATTTGATTATTTCTTAATATAACTTAATTATCATTTAACATTCAAATGAATTTATTGTTGCATGTATTTTTTTTATAGGAAAATTATAAAATGGAGATGATTTCAAAGTATGGAAGTAATCGGGAAAATCATCCTTCATTTGATGGAGCAGCTTGGTGTGTGGCTTCAGGAGGAGTTACAAAGGGTAGGGTATATGGTGCACCTCGTATGCCAAAATCTATAGTTAGTCCAAGCTCTTCATCACATTCCTACTCAGTGGAGTCATCATATCCCAGTTCATCGTATCGAGCATTGCAAAAGGAGATAAAGGATAAAGAAGAGGAGATAAAGAAAAAAGATGAATTTATTCTTGAAATGAAACGACAGATGGATTCCATGAAAGAATATCTTGTGAACAATCTTGGATACAATGATGGGACATCAAATATTGATCAAGGTATGCCACCATCTTTGACTCCAGCAATATCGCCACCTATGGCTCCTCAGATAATGACATCTATGGGACCCACATCTCAACCAATTTTTCGACCTACACCTCGACCTTTATATCCTGATCAATCTTGTATCGATCCACAATATCATGGTTCGTCTTCGCAACCGGCACCATGATTGTATCTTTTGTTGTTTTTTTTATTGTATTTGAACTTAATTGTATTGATGTAAGTTTAACTAAATTTTTATTATATGAATATTAGTTTTATTCTATTTTTTATTAATGATACAATTATTTTTAATATTAAATTGTGTTGGTTATATATATTTTAAAATTTTTAAAATATCCATAAATAATTAAATTAATTAATTAAAATTAAAAATCATTGCAATAAACAAATAAAAAATAATTTAATAAAAAATAATATAATCACCAACGGATTCTCCGTTGGTGATTGTAACTAATGCATCATTCAGCAACGGAGAATCCGTTGCTGATTCACAAAATAAGCAACGGATTATCCGTTGCTCATTTTGCAACGGATTATCCGTTGCTAATTATAAGCAACGGATTTTCCGTTGCAAAGAAATCAGCAACGGATAAATCCGTTGCTAACAAATCAGCAACGACAAATTTGCATCCGAATTTTGTCGTTGCTGATTTCGTTGCTAAATTGTTTTAGCAACGGATTTTAGTAATATTTGCAACGGAGTAGTCCGTTGCTAATTACTATATTTTTTAGTAGTGAAGGCAGGTACTCGACAGGGTGAGCGAGAATTCCAGGCTGAAGTTGATATCATTAGTCGTGTCCATCATCGCCATCTTGTGTCACTTGTTGGTTATTGTATTGCTGAAGGGCAAAGAATGTTGGTCTATGAGTTTGTTCCCAACAAGACCTTGGAACATCACCTTCACGGTAAGTTTCTGCTTCTGCTTCTGCTTCGTTTTCATTGTAAAGTTTCTTGTTGAACGATAAAAGAAATGTTACGGTGCCTTAATTGTAGACTTTCTAACATTACAGAGAAGTGTGTCCAATCTTAAGCCATCGATAGATCTAGATTTGTCAAAAGAATGCATACAAACAGTACCATGTCAAGCCTTCTAGCTTCAAGGCATCTTGATACGCACCAGCACCACCTCTTATATTATAAAATTTCAGCAAAAAAAATCCAATTAGAGTGATAAACTCAAACTGTCGGTTGCAGGAAAAGGTCTTCCAGTCATGGAGTGGCCGACTAGGCTTCGTATTGCATTAGGTTCTGCCAAAGGGCTTGCTTACCTTCATGAAGATTGTAAGAAATTCTACCCCTCCTTTCTCCCCCCCCAACACACACACACATGCACGCAGTGATCACGTATTTATGTTGCTTTATTGAAAAATATGTGCAGGCCATCCTCGGATTATCCACCGTGATATTAAAGCTGCCAATATTCTTATTGACAACAACTTTGAAGCCATGGTACCTTCTCTTGGTGGAACTAGATTTATAGTTTGTCCTATACATACACACATATATGATACCGCCCCCGTAGCACTAGATCCATCAAAACAATATTGCTGATGTTGACAAAGCTAATTGATCACGCTCCTTTGCCTATTCAGGTTGCTGATTTCGGATTGGCTAAGCTGTCTTCTGACAATTACACGCATGTATCTACCCGTGTCATGGGTACTTTCGGGTAAAGCTATGATAAGCCATTCTTTTGTTATACAAGGGTGGACTTGAATCAATTTCAAAGTTCTTTCCATAGCATGGCAAAGTCTTAACCTTCTACTTTCTTATTCAAAAATGATACGCAGTTAGAAAAGGTTGCTGCTAATAAACTTCCTTGATGCTAATGCAGGTATTTGGCTCCTGAGTATGCAGCAAGCGGCAAGCTGACTGAGAAATCTGATGTTTTCTCGTATGGAGTCATGCTTTTGGAACTCATAACCGGGAAGAAACCTGTTGATCCTTCAAGTGCAATGGAAGATAGCTTGGTGGACTGGGTGTGTGGTTTCTCTATTTTTATCCTAGTTTGACTAAAATGCTTTTCAGTATAAACCTTTCATCAAAGTTTTTGAAATACTTGCCATCTTGTGCTGTTCTGTGAAGTAAATATAATTTTTTGTGCATGTAACGGATAGGCTCGACCGCTTACGATTTCTGCTTTGGAGACTGGCAACTTCATTCAGTTGGTCGATCCAATGTTGGAGAGCAAGTACAACCATCAAGAGATGCAAAGAATGATAGCTTGTGCTGCGGCCAGCATTCGCCATTCTGGTAGAAAGCGCCCAAAAATGAGCCAGGTATCCAAAGAACCTCACTTCCACAAGTAAATTTCTAATAATTATCATAAGACGCTATTTGACATGTTATAATTTTTCTGCAAAATAGATAGTACGTGCATTAGAAGGAGATGTATTACTGGATGTCTTAAATGATGGTACAATGACTGGCCAGAGCCCGATGTTTTCCAGCTCGAACGGAAGCTCAGACTACGATACAAATTCGTATATTGCAGATATGAAAAGGTTCAGGCAGGTGGCGTTAGGTAGTCAGGAATTTGGGAGCAGTGAGCATGGAACATCAAGCAATGACTCCCGAGAAATGGGCCCTTCAGGGATCCACAGGAATTATCATTGAAACAGCCAGTCTAATTAGTAGCCACAAAAATGGACAAAAAGCTTAAATACCTAAAAGCCAATTTATGAGCCATTTTTGGTGGTCAAGAACAGACAACGATCGCAGACGTACAAACATAAATGGTCATTATTTTTCTTTCAAGTGATTCTGTTGATTTGAAACTAGTTACTCGGTGTCTTTTTCAAGGGTTAACTCTAGAGAGGAGAGACCAAGTATTTAGGTGGTACTAATGATTCTTCCTATCTATGTGAAAAATGTTGATGGCACTCACCAAGAAACCCTAATTTTTTAACTAATTGAATTTGTTTCTCTCATCATATGTGGTATTGTAAGGTGGCCATGCATGGATTTCATGTAATGGGGCGGACTCTAGCTTCTGTTGTATGTGTGAGCTGTCTGTGTTATTGTTCTGCTATAAAAAGTACTGTGTTGTTAAATTCTTTGTCCTGCTTTTTACTTCTTCCTCGTTTGTACGTTCTGTTAAAATGTTATGCAAAGGATCTTCTTTTTGTAAATTCTGTTTTCTCCTTTGATATTTCTGCTTCCCAGTCTCATAATGGTATTGAAAATTGTACCTTTTTTAAGCTTCTATAAAATTATTGAATTTTAATTAACTATTTATGTTTATTTCTAAAACACAGATAGATACTCAAAAAAAAATTAACAACATTAACTATAAATTATAAATTATTATGAACTCTAATATATTTTTTAATTCTTTTGTAAATAAATTATGATTGAAAATAACATAAAAAAAACCATTTACTTCTATCTTTTTTAAACCAAAAAACTCAAGGTAAAAGATTGAAATTCTTAATTTGATGAAAAAAAGTCACGACAATCACTTAAAAGAAAAAAATAATTCTCTTGTAACTTTTCTTTGTATATTTAGGTTAACTTATATTAAATTTGAACTAATTTAAATTTAGATTTGGATTAAAAGTTTGGGTTTATACTAGTTTTAACATCAATTTGTTTATTGAAATTATAAATAAAAAAGATTGACCTCTAAATTACTTTTATATCATTTTTTAGATTAAATTTAATTTAGAATTCAATTCTTAACACTCAAAATAGTTTCAAATATTATATTTTTTAAAATTAAAAAAATTGGAATCAATTCAAAAAATTCAAGCATATTATAAATGAATTCACAAGTCTTATCATGACTTGGATGGATGGTAGGTGAATATTATTATATAATTTTAGATAAAATAGCCAAGAAGAGTACAAGAGAAATTGTATTTTCATTCTTAGCATATATTTGTTGGTACGGAAGATGTTGTCTAAATCTAATTATAAAAGAAATTAGATTTTTATATGCAAAATAACTCAGAATTTCCCAACCTTTAAATTAATCATACCATAATTTTTCCACAAAGATAAACCATTTCAAATGGAATATTAATTGATAATTTTTTTTTATGAAGAATGTAAATTAAATAACTTTGATGACATTCCAAGTAAAAAACTCAAGGGATTTGTTTAGTGATTAAAATGGATTTTTTAATTAAAATTTTAGAACCACGATTTAATAAGATTTATTAATTTTTTTTAAATATACCAGACTAGACTTCTCCATTATAATTATTCAATAAAATATTTAATCTCAATTAATACGTAAACTTAAAAATTATTTTATTGTCGGGAAAAAAAACATTCGAGAAGCAATTTCTTAAAAAAAACAAAAAAAAAAAAAACAGCAAACGCTGAGTAGAAACGGCACCGTATGCGAAGAGCAAACAAACACGCAACTCGGCTATATATTACAAAAGGTAGCCAAACATTTCTCCTGTCTTTCTTGCTGCCGCTTCCGGGTTCTAATCGGACTTCCAAAACCCGATCCAAATAAATTGTATATCCAAATCGATGCACGTTATTATTAATTTATTCTTGCTCACTTGTTAAAAACTCGATTTCTTTATAAAATCACGAAAACCCTAGTTAGCTGGTGGAGCTTCGATCCCGCCACCATGGGAGATTACAACGATGCCTTCATGCGCAACCCGAACGCCGCCGTTCGTGGCAGCGCTAAAGGACAGAATCGTGCCAACGTTCTCCAGCTCAAACTGGTCCGATTCTATTAAAGCTTCTTTTTTTTTTCAAGTTGATTTTAATTTAAGATTTTAGGTTTTTTTTAGTTTTTTTTTCTATAATTACACGCGTGGTTTTATTACTTTTTGAACTTTTGAAATTTGTTCAATTTTTCTTTGGATTTGTCCTTATTTGTAGTTTCGATTATAAATCTTAATTTTAGGGTTTAGGATCGTTAATTGTGTCACGTTTTGGTATTGATTTAGCTCTAATAAACTATGAGAACTTTTACTTTGTGGCACTTTTAGGGGTTATTTGTGATATTAGGAGTTAAAATTTATGTAATGTTGATCGCTGAAGGGATGGAGAAGGGCAGGCTTTTCGATTTTTGATGGGTTTTTGCTAAAGAGTGGTGAAATTTATCGAGTTGTGATATTTTTTAATATTTGGAGTGAACTGGATATGCTGGCTTGTGCAGATTGGGCAAAGCCACCCCACGGGTTTAACAGCAAATCTTTTGAAGCTCTTTGAGCCTCGACCTCCTCTGGAATTTAAACCCCCACCAGAGAAGAGAAAATGCCCGCCATATTTAGGTATCTGTTTATTGTGTATTATTGTTGTAAGGGTTTCCTTTGTTGGATGTTTATTTATTGATGTTATGAGTTTTGTTTCATGCCTCATTTTTTTTCAGGTATGGCTCAGTTTGTGAGTCACTTTGCAGAGCCTGGAGATCCGGAGTATGCTCCTCCTATCAAGGAAGCTGAAACTCCTGTAGGGTTATCTACTTGCTGTAACTGTTCACTTTTTTTTTTTGTGGTTTCTATTTAGGATTCTTTAGTTTCTGTTAAACATGATAATTTCTTTAAGGTTTATGCAAGCTCTATGATTGTTTCTTGTGGCTTGTTTTTCCTAAGCAGTTTTGTTTTATGTTCTATAACTTTGTGGGTGCATTTTCCATGGCTCCAGGCAGAAAGAAAGGCTAGGATTCATGCAGCACGACTAGAAAAGGGTGCAGAAAAGGCTGCCGAGGAGCTCCAAAAATGTTAGATTATCTTCTTTGCTAGTAGCAATTCCATTGTTAAGATTCGATCTATGCAGGTTTTAACTTTTTTTGGATCCTTGTTGTTTTTGCAGATGATCCTACTAACGATCCAAATGTGTCGGGTGATCCATACAAGACATTGTTCGTTGCTAGGCTTGTAAGTATTTTGCATCATCCTTTATAAATTTCAAGGTTTATGATTTACTTTCTGCACTGGTGTCTTATTTTTTGTTGTTTTGTTGTTGCAGAATTATGAGACTACTGAGAGTAGAATTAAAAGGGAGTTTGAATCTTATGGACCAATAAAACGGGTAGGTATTTTTGAGTATACCCAAGCAGGTTTGGTAAGAGGTTATGCAACAACTTTCTCCTTAACATGCCATGCAAAAAATCTGTATATTCTTTTAAAAAATATATGTTTTAAAAGTTTCTGGATTATGTTTTTGATTTCAATATTTTTAAATGAACAAAAAAAATGTTTGGGAATGAAAAAAGTTCTCCCATGTGCTCCTTTGTGTAGCTGATTTAATCTGCTTGTTGAACAATAAATCAGTGTTAACCTTTTCTTTACTTTTCAACTGAACTTGAACGTAGTGACGCATCATAGTTTCACTTGTTTGGTAACTGTAGTTAGGAATTTGTGGCACATCTTTTGTTCCACATCTATTGCAATAAAGAAAGCTAGAACACCATCTCATTGTTGGAGTGCGCAAATTGGAAATAATAGCACAGGTATCACTGCCTATTTTCTGGTAATGACATAGGTTTGTTCCGCTGATCCCTTGACAATTCTACTTGCATTGTAGTTGGGTTTAGAAATCATTAATGGAACAGTTATTGTTCCAGGTTCTAGATATTGTTTTAGTTTAAAGTTCATCTAAGAGAGCCCTGGTAAGGTTGTTCCAGTTTCTAGGCATTGTTTTAGTGTTAAAGTTCTTCATACAAAGAGATCCCTGGTAAGGGGACATTTCACATCATTCTACAAATGGAAAATTCTCTCTCCCAATTTTCTTATCGTCCAATTCCAAAGATCTTGCCGGCAAAGCTGGATTTAAGTTGAGCAGAGCATTGATGCACTGTGCCTTTTGGCCTTAATTTTCGAGCAACAAAAGGAGACTGGCATCTGTTCTTTTTCCTGAACTGGGTAAAATATGTTGGGAGTATTAGCATCTCTTTCTTTCTATTGGAATCTTTCATAATGCATTCCATTGCTGCTAAAAAAATTATTTTTGGCTTTAGAGGCTTCTCAAAACATATCAGCAATTGAGAAGATGCTCTGGTATTTCCTATTTTATCCATAACTATTTTTTTTAATTTAAAACAATTTATTCCCTGGTAAGGGGATGCTAGTCTGTTCAAGAATTGGTAAATTTGCCTCAATATATCAGTTTTTCTGCAACTCTAGCACTGGTGGTGATGCATCTCGCGATTCGAAGCCCTATGATTAAAAGGTGAGCACGGCCAATTAGGCATAATGCCTGCCTGCCGTGCCATTTAGGATTTACTGCTTTTAACTTTTTGTAGAGCTATCACTTGGTTATGGAAAATAAACAGTAAAAATATGATGGATATGGTTTGAAGGTCTGACTCTGTAGTGGCATTATATTTATTCTTCTGCTTTGAGAGTTGCAGGTTCGCATGGTAGCTGATAAAGTGACAAATAAACCTAGAGGATATGCTTTCATTGAATACATGCATACACGAGACATGAAAGGTTTGATATGTTGTTTTGCACTGTTTATTGAATATGCATTCCATGTCATGTGGTTCTAACTGCTGCTTGTCGACATGACCAGCTGCCTATAAGCAAGCTGATGGGCGGAAGCTTGATGGAAGAAGGGTACTAGTTGATGTTGAACGAGGTAGGACTGTCCCAAATTGGCGACCTCGCAGACTTGGCGGTGGACTTGGAACTACCAGAGTTGGGGGTGAAGAAGTTAATCAGAAGCATTCTGGGAGGTAATTTCCCTGATCTCATCTATTTTACATCTTGGCTTTATATTTTTATCTTTCTATAACCAAATATTGTAATTAAATGTCTTTCCTGTTGTGCTTATTGCTGACTAATGATGGCAATTGTTTAAAATAAAATTTCAATGCAAGGAATTATTTAAGTTCTGTTTGAGCCAGGGCTATGTAGTTATATTTAGTTATCTTGTGCATTGGGATAGTCTATTTTTGACACGCTTTGCTTATTTTGTTTGTGACACTGTTTTTTAGCTTCTTCTGTTCAACTTGTGGGTTTTTGATAACTTAAAATAACGCTAAGCTTCAAAAGCTGAATGCTTCTGGGTCTTCTTGGAGTTAATGATTGTTATTTTGGACAATCCAACATGTTTTCCTTTCCTTTCTCAGAGAGGTTCAGCAATCAGGAGGATCTTCTCGGTCTGAGGAGCCAAGGACACGAGAAGACCGGCAAACTGAACGGTATGACCCTTAAAAGTTTTCCACACTTTCTAATTCTGTTACATAACTTTTTGTATGAAAGAGGATTAACAAAAGAGTACAATTCTCGTGGTGGTATAATATGTTTCCAATGTTGTGGTGATGGTTGAATGAGGAAGCTCAAATGATGTTTATCGCACTGTTGTTTTTACCTGAAAATAACAGTGATTATATGGAGGACATGTGGAATATCACAAGGGCATTCATGAGTATTTTACATATTTGCTAGTTATATGTTTGATTTATTTGGATGATGTATCCCAGGGACAGGGAAGTGTCTCGTGAGAGGGGAAGGGACAAGGAAAGAGATAGGGAGAAGTCACGTGAGCGCTCCCATGACAAGCCACGGGATCGTGACCACAGAGAAGATAGGCATCATAGAGATCGTGAAAGAGAGAGAGACCGAGACAAGGAGAGAGAACGAGGCCGTGATCGTGACCGTGATAGGACACGTGATCGAGGTCGGGACCGTGGCCGTGACTATGAGCGTGATCGAGAGAGAGACCGTGGTCGGGATCGTGATCGCACTCGGGACAGGGAGAGGGATTATGAAGTCAGTGACCATGACCGTGGGCGCTCCCATGATAGGGATGAGTCAAAACATGAGAGGGATAGACTTGGTGAAAGGGACTATGATCATGCTGAGCCAGAGGATGATCGTGGCTGGTATGAACATCCTGAGCAGGGGCAAAGGCTGCCAGATGCAGAAAATGACCCGCGTTATGATCACTATGAGCATCATAGAAGCAGGGGACAGTATGATCCCATGGATGTTCAAGGTGACCATGACCGCTATGATCAATATCCAGACCGTGATCGGTATGATCAAATGGAGGATGATGATTACCACTATGATCGCGGAACATCCGAGTCACGTGAAAAGGAGCGTGAATATAGAAGATCAGAGAGGTCGGTTTCCCGGGATTATGACAACTGAGAATGTGGTCTGGCTGAATGTCTGTCATGCCCTTACTGGGGGAGGTTTCATCAAGGTCTCTAGAAACCTTTCTATCTCACAAACTGAAGTCGTTTGTTTTCTCCCTTATTTGGTTTTAACTGTATGAGTGTGTTTGTTCGACTTTCTCAGTATTTTCCCTGCCTCTGCTATCTGGTATCGCTGATGGATTTGCATTGTCATGTGCTAGTTTTTGGACAGAAGTAACTTTCCTGTTTGGTTAGTTTTGTGCCTGCATCTGAAATGAATCAAGGATATCTGCACTTGTTTTAATCTGTGTTTCAAATATGCAGATTAGCCGGAACATCTGTATCCTGGTTATGATCACATTTTGTATTTGAGTTCTCAAAGCCTGTGAAGGTCAAGCTCTTACAGTGAGCTAGATAGATGTCTATTTCTTGCTGTAACGACCTTGCAGTTCATACTCTTTTAGGTTGGATTTTGTACTATGGTAATGGGTACTGGAAACTGCACGTTGGCTGGATTCTGAAGCCAAAAAAGCCTTCTTCCTTGTTGGTTTTACTCAGATGCTCAAAAATAATGCGATTTCTTGATCCTGAATTTCGTGCACCGTTTTATAATTCAATTCGATACCATTGGCTGGGTCCGTTAGGCAGCAGCATTCCCTTAAATCTATGATCAAGTCATTTTTATTTATTTTTAATTTTAGACTTCAGAAAAGGAACGCATGTCAGAATTTGATAGGTTCTAATTTTAGAAAAAGAAAAAATTAAAAAAATATTAATAATTGTGGTAATTTTTTATTTATTATCAATTGTATATTTACATTTGGAGAAAGAATAATTTAATTTATTTTAAAAATTAAAAAAAAAAGTAAAAATAAATGTTATTTTATTTATTTATTTAATGTTGGATTGTTTTATTTTTATTTGTTTATTTACCAATGGAAAATATATCATTAAAAATAATTGTTATTTTATTTATTTATTTAATGTTGGATTGTTTTATTTTTATTTGTTTATTTACCAATGGAAAATATTTCAGTAAAAAGGAATTGTTATTTATTTATTTATTTAATGTTGGATTGTTTTATTTTTATTTATTTATTTATTTACCAATGGAGAATATTTTTTCTTTGATTTTTATTTGTTTTGGAAAAAATCTTTCACTTTAGTTTAAAGGTCAAATAGATGATTCCTTTTTTTTCTAATTAATTTTTGATTTTATCTTAAAAGCACGATGAAGAACCTTATAAAATAAATAAATTTTCTATAAAAAAAATAGAAAAGCTAGAACACGTAAAACCAAAACTTTCATTACAAATTAAATTAGAAATCATGTCTATATATTTACAGCCATCAAGTTTATTTCATCGATGCATCTATCACCTTATCCCTCGATGAATATTATCAGACCATCTTATGATTTGCAAGACCTAAATAATCACTATAATATATATTAGCTAATTAATTTATGGTAACAAGAGTGTGTGCCCGTGTATTTTCTTGTGTGAAAAAATTGAAGAAAAAAATCAAGCAATAAATAAATAGAAAATTGGCAAAAATAAAATATTTTTAATGGTTTTTTCTCTGAAATAAGAAACAATAAAAATATGACACGTGTCCTTCTATTTTTTAAAAGTCTAAACTAACGGATTATAAGCTTTAACCATGGATAGAGTAATCATTGGTGCTGCTTATCAAATCAAAACGCAGGCATCCAATTATCCAAATTAGAACCATAAAGGTTATATATATATATATATATATATATATAGAAACTAATATCACATACGTCTTTAATGTCATTAAACCTAATTTTTTGATCTATTTCAGTTTTTACCTTACTGTACATTAATTTTAATACTTTATTAACAGAGATGCAATAGGATTTATCATTTTTTAAAATAATTTTTTGGTGGCTCCAGCTCATTTTAACAACGGCCTAGATCTTACAGGGTAAAACAAGTTTGCACTCAGGCAGCGTGCTTAGGTCCAATGGCACCCAGCGCATGTCCTGACATTTATCATGTTGCTGGGCCGGAGACCAGTTTTTTAAGTCTAAACTTGTGGTCTGGACCAATATCTAACTTCCTTAGTATTTTTCACTTATTTAGACTTTTTAGCCTGGATGGTACTCCATTTATATCTTTACATTTACATATTTAGATGTACAGGGTCTTTTATAATATTTTTATTTTTATTTTATAAATACATGTATAAGAAATATTTATTTTTTTATTAATATTTATGTAAATAATATTTATTTTTCATTAATACATATATAAAAAATATTTATCTCCCATTAATATTGTTAGGTTAAATAACTTTTTAGCTTCCTCATTTAAGCAAAAACAAATATATAATTCAGGAGGTATAAATATCTTTAAATTATTCACGTGATTCATAATTTTATTGTTATCAACATATATACAAAACACAAAAAAAAAAAAAAACAATCTTCTTATTAGGATTTAACACTCTTTTACATGTTTATTATATTTTTTTTCTGTAAAGATATTAACTTAAGCATCTCTCTGTATCCATCAAAAGAGAAATGTTTTGCAAGTATTATAATTTTTATGTCAGGCTACACATTCCTTGGCTATAAAGAATTAATTAAATAGCGAGAATAATTGATTAAGCTTATTATTCCACCATTAAAAAAACTATATTACTAAACATCATGAATTTTGAAATATGATATAGATATGATAATATCTCAAGTTTTTTTTTTAAAAAAAAGGTGCAAAAATTACATAAGACATTAGTTTTTAAGTCATCTAGGTGAACGACTTATTATTAATTAATTAACTAAGAAATAATTTGCCTAGGTAATTTACTGTTTCCTCTGCTGTTTTTTTTTTTTTTTCATTCTTAGATTTTTTTTCCTTTTAGTCTTTTGATTTTCAATTAGGTCCTTTCTTAATTGATGGGTTAAGATTTGAGATTGGTGCTATGATTAAATTGCCTTAGTATGTGATTCTTGTAGTTGCATGAAAAAAAAAATGATTTTGGATCCACACAAGATTTTGTTAAAAATAGTTTGATTTTTTTTTCTTTTGATTTCATTGAATTGAAAATGAATGGGCTAGATTTGAAAAGAAGGATAAATCAAGGAGCTTCTTTTTACTAAAAAGAAAAAATATGTAAAACGATAGGATGATAGAGAAAACATGAAAAGAAGATAAGGAAGAAAACACGGTCATTGAAGCCAAGTTGGACCGTCGTAGTGAATATGCACCTTGTTGGTGGAATAATATCGGCGTGACGAATCCACATACATCAAAAAAGGTCGGTTTTTGGAGATTACATGAGGTCGCACATGCTACTCAAACCACAACGGTGTCTCCTATACATTGGTGTGCGAGCTACATTTGCCTTACTGTTTTCCCTCTCCTTTATTAACTTAAATTCTTGAATTTAAAATATTTTTTCAACCGAGTACCGCATTGTATTCTATATAACTAATCAGTTTAGTCTTCAATATTGTCGAACTTGATACCAAATAGGACTCATATGAAAAGAAAAGAAGTAAAATAAAACAAAAGAGATAACTTAACAATCGAGTTAGCACATTATAATCATTTTCATGACTTGAGTTGCAAATCTTATAATTAACCTGAATTGACCAGTATTGCTCTGATTTATCATTATCAAAATATTAAAAAAAAATATAGATTTTTTTTTGTCAAACTCTATTTTCACTAAATGTCTAAGTTATCTTTTTATTCATTAAATCAAGTGGATCACAAAATAAAAACTTCCTCACACTTTATTTTAATTTAATATGAGGCCAACTAAGAATCTGGTTAAAAAATTTTAACATCAACCCGCTTAACTGGATTTAAAAATATTATTAAATATTTACCCATAATCATTTTTTTAAGAGGTTCATGTTAGTTTTTTTAAATTTGTTGTGGTCATTGTAAATACAAACTTTTTTTTTGCTATTGCAAAAAAAAAAAAATTACTCCATCGCGCAGCATACCACGTAGCAACTGACCAGCAATACTCAATTGATTTGAAATTCCACAAAGATGACATATGTTAAAAGATAATTAAATCCAATAATTGGTTGGTTCAAGATCACAATAAACAACAAGTGATAGCTTTATGTGTAGTCTATACATCTACAAGTCACATTGTTTTGATCCAGCAATGGAGCTTGAACGATTGATTGGGAGGCGAAACATGCAAGAACAAGAACAAAAACAAAGTAAAAAAGAAATAGGGCCATAAGTGTAAGAGGCAAGCTTTTATTGAGATTAAATTGGAGAAAAATTAACATAAAGATATGACATCGCACCGCCTTCGGTAGCGTGTGCATCCCAAAAGTTACCACCATGGTTGATTATAGAACAAGTTGATTCGATGTAAAAGTTCGACATTGAAGTTAGTCGAAGGAGTTTTAAGCAGCGTATGGGATGCAGTTAAAATACTGTTTGATAAAAATTTAAATTTTTTTTATTTAAAATTAAATTTTTTATATATGTTTTACAATGTTCTGATGTGTTAATGTTAAAAATAAAAATATATTATTTTAATATATTTCTAAATAAAAACAATTTAAAAATCAATTATTATTACTTATCACAGTACTAAAAACTAATGATATTGTTTTTTTTTTAATTATTAGGTTATCTGTATTATGAATTTATTAATATTTCAGTGGTATTTGGAAGTATAGAAATAGTTGCAGGTTATAATATAAAATATATTAAAATAATTTTTTTATTTTTAAATTTTTTTTTACATCATCCTAAAAATATAAAAAATTAATATTAGATTATTTTTTATTTTAAATTTTATAAAAATACAATTGGACTCATTTTCCAAACACAGCAGAGTTTCAAAACGCTAATATGGATTGGTTGAAGAGAGGATATATTACCTGCATCGTTTGTCTCCACGCCTTTTAAAATTTCTGTTATGCATTGATCCATCAACAAAATAAGACTACACACGTTAAAACAAGAAATCATCACATATATAATGCCTCTTATTATAAATTTAAAAATTAATAATGGCCTATAAAAAAAAAGATTTCCAGTAATTATCCTCTTGGACCTTGTCAGCAATACCCATTTTATTAAAGCAATGCAACAGTACAAAAATCTTGGGTAAATAAACCGATCACCATATAGAGTTAGTTTGGTGTCACAGTAATTTCTTCCAGCCTTTTGAACAACTGGTTTTTCATGTTTGCCGTGTATTAATGATGCTGCTTTCTATCCCTTTTCAACTTATATGCAGCATTGTAAACTTGGCTTGAGAGAGAGATGTTCCATGATTTTGTATGGAAGCGCAGGGATAAGATTTGGTGAAGGAAAAGCCAAGAAACATCCATGAGCCATGAAACTTCTTGGTGCTTAATTTGTCAAATTAATGGCTCGTGGTGGCTGTTGCATGCCGTCCGTACTGCTACCGGCTTGAGTTTAGTCTCTCTCTTTTTGTTTCTTGCAACTTACACTAGAGCTCAAAAAATTCCGTACTGCTTTGTTTTGAACGTTTTGCTGGTTCTGAGAAATTTCATAGGAATCCCGTTTACATGTTTTTTCCTGCCTCATGTCTAATGTTACAAGGCTAGAGACAACAAAGGAAAAGTTGTGATTTGTACAAGGTTATTGAGTATCAATCATCAAAGATAAACACTTGTCATGGAAGTGACATGATCAGAGATTAGAGTAATTCTACGAATTG